TGTGAGGTGTAAACGTTATTCGAGTAAGTGTAGAAAACCTGATTGTGACAGTGGATTTCTCTCCGGGAGTGGGGAGCGGAGACATAGGACGGAAGGTCCGAACTCCTTGATCATCTTTGTGTGTTAGAGTCTGCATTGGCGTATCATTTGTGTCTATTGCTTAGTCTATATTATTCGTCATTGCTCATTGTTTACATTGCCCTATCATATTTGTTTTTGCTTATCCTTGTATATATCTCATTGTGTATCTCATTGATAGGATATTACACTTATTTTATATTGCTCATTCTTGAGCATATCACATTGTATATCTATCTTACAAGAATAATTTGTTAATAAGTTTTAATCGGCATTAATATCTAATAAGATTACTAATAACCCTATTCACCCCCCCTACCCATCCCACCCCCCTAGGGTGTTTTCACAACTTATCAGATTTGACATGATAAAATGCTGGGCACCCAAAAACCTTGAGCTGATCATAGTCATGTGCTGGTACTCCCGATCATATTTTCATAGGGGTCTTCCCCTTTATCGCTGATGAAGGTATCCTATTAATAAGGTGGCTCGCATATGTAAGTGCATCAATCTAAAAGATCTTCTATAAACCACTCTGCGATAACAAATATTGGATCTTCTCCAATAAAGTCAGATTTAACCTCTCTGTCACCCCATTCTGCTACAGTGTATGACTAATTGTGAAGTGTCTCTCTATGTTATCGTCTCTACATAGCTGTTGAAAGGGATTTGAAGTATACCACCACCGTTGTCGGATTTTAACTTCTTGATCTTTCTCCATGTCTGCAGTTCCAACCTTATTCTCCACTCCATAAATATCTCTAGGACTTCACTCTTTTGTTTCATTGTATATATCCAACAATGCTTAGAATAGTCATCCATAAAAGTGACGAACCAATATCGCCCACCAAGTGATGTTGTCTTGGTGGGCCCCCATACATCCGTGTGTACATAGTCCAAAATATCGTTTGTTTTATAAATGGTTGTCTTGAACTTCACTTAGTCTTCTTGCTAAGAATACAATGCTCACAAAATTTAATTTTCTCACTCTTAGCTCCTTTCAATAATCCCTGTTTGCACAATACCTGTAGTGACTTTTTCTCTGTGTGCCCAAGTCTGAAATGCTAAAGTCTACTAACATCCGCCTCTGAAACTGCTGCCTTCAGATAATAGAGATTTTTATTACGGACCTCTTTCATCACTACTAATGATCTTTTAGTAACTTTAGCTACAGCGTTCTCTAAAGTTATCTTGAATCATTTTGCCTCCAAAGCTCCAACAAAAATAAGATTTTTCTTCGGTTGAGGAACAAACCTTACTTCAGTCGTCTCTCTAACAACTCCATTGTGCATCTGAATTCTAACAGTACCTATCCCACAAATACCATAAGATTGATTGTTACCTACGATCACCACACCCCCATCAAGCTTCTTAAAAGATGCAAACCAATCTCTCCAGGGAGTCACATGATAAGTAGCCCCAAAATCCAGCATCCAATCTGATGCATCTGTATGGTTATCTCTGGAGTAATAGAAAGAGAAAAGTATGAATCATCAAAATCATTACCATTTCCAACATTCACCTCACTGACCTTCGAGTCCTTCTTCTTGCTATTCCTCTCTCAGTTTTGGGCAATCTCTCTTTCAATGTCCTTGTTCTTTGCAGAAAGCACACTGGTTTTTAGCAAATTGGTAGTATCCTCTTGATTGTCCTCTAGACTTTGACCTAGCTGATTACCACCTCTAGGATATGGACTCCTTCTTCTTGTCGACAAGACTTCTCCTGAAGTGCTAGCTCTAAAAAATTCTTTATCCTTCCTCCTCAAATCAAAATTTGTCAATGTATTTGTAACTTAACTATAGATGATGGAAGATCTACCATTCAATAAGGTAAGCACAAAAGTGTCAAAATCCTCATCAAGTAATGAGTCTAACAAAATGATCGTCTTGTACTCATCCGATATCTTCTCATCAACATTTGCCAAGTCCGACAATAACTTTGTGTAGTTATTCACTTAATCTGCAAGTGATGTATCCTTGGACATCTGGAATCAAGTAAGATCAATAGTATTATTGTGTTGAATGTCAGGTTTTGTATTGTTCCTCTCACATCGTATTTATATATTTCGCAATGTTTTATCTTGTGATGATTGTTATTGTGTATATGCAGCAGCTGTATTTATCTTGTGCACATATTGTTATGGGCCGAAATATCAGAGTAACCTAAAAAGTGACACACATTTACCAATTTCACCTATAAAGTAACACATGTGATAGTTTAATCTAAAAGTGATAAATACGATGACAAATAGGTATTTCCAATGCCAAAGATAGTTTTTAAGTGAAAATTTAAGTAATTTTTACATATAGACCCCCAGCTCCATCACATTTTTCAGATTAACCCCCCAAAAAGTTTCTAAAATTTGTAAAAAGAGCCCTCACTTCCCACAATCTCTTCCTTCCTCCTTCTCCTCCTCCATTCTTTCCACCATCTCCTCCATTCTCTTCTCCTCTAACCCCTAACTTTCCTTCCTCTCTCTCGCTCCTTCTCCGTCCTTTCTCATGTTCATTCTTATCTTCTCCTTTCCGCTATCTCCTTCATTTTCTTTTCATCCCAATCCATAACCTCCCCTCCTCCTCCTCCTCATCCTTTCTCAAACCCAACATATAATATTCTACTTGAAGCATTAGAAGGGAGTGAAGGAGAGGAGAAGAAGGAGGAGAAACAAGACAAAGAAGAGAGGGAAATGAAAGAACTTAAGAAGAGATGGATTTGGAGAAAGACGGAAAGAAGAATGTAATATGGAGGATATAAAAAAGGAGGGAGAAAGAGAGTGGGAGAGGGGAGAGGTTAAGGACTGGGATGAGAAAATAATGGAGGAGATGGTGGGAAGGAGGAGGGAGGAGATGGTGGGGGTGTGAGGGGAGGGGAAAGAGAGAGAAATTTTTTCATATATTTTAATTTTGGGGAGATAAATCTGAAAATATGATAGAGTGGGGGGTCTATATATAAAAATTACTTACTTTTTAAGTTTAAAATTATCTCAGGGACTGAACAATGCCTATTTATCGTCGTATTTGTTATATTTGGGCTAAACTATCGTCGGCGCCACTTTATAGGCTAAACTGGTATTTTAGCCGATTGTTATGAGCTATAGCATATCCACGAGGGGGAGTCACTCGCTATGGAGATGTTGCCAATTTGCGTCAGAATTAGGTATGTCTTGTATTGCAGGACATGATGGTAATAAGGAATCTTCTATTCAGACAGATACGCTTTGACGTTTCAAAGAGGCATTACCTCAAACAATAGTGGAGAGAGCAATTTTTTGTATTTCCTTCAAAAATCTTTTTATTGATGATGTCTTTTTATTGTTGGTGTTTGATGGACGGCAAAAAGTACCAAACTATGAGAAAATTGTTAATAATGTTCAGAACTAGCTCGATGAATGAGTTCCTTCAATGTCATATTGGGGAAAGATTGTTTAACTGTCGATTGAGTTCTTTCTGTTGAGAAAGAGAAGAGAAAATTGTTAATTTTTTATTGTCATTTCTGTTTTGGTGGGAATGTTTCGTTGAAGTTGCAAGAAGCTGCGAACAAGAGTTAGGGAAATAATTTCCCCAAAAAAGAAAAACAAAACAAAGTTGGAAATGATCTAAATCTATAAACTAGCCACATGAGTTATATAAATTACAAGATTAACATTGGGAACAACACTCCTCACTTTTCAAAAAAAAATTATAATAACAATACTTTTAGGAAAGAAAATAGGAGTATTTACGAGAGTATTTATGTTTTACCAATGGTACTTAGAAATTTGACATTTGAAGCAAAAAGCGCATTCCACTGATTAAGCTCTTGGAAAAGCCTAAAATGGAAAGAAAAAGGTTTATTTTTCTATATTAGTCTCTTAAATATATAAATAAAAAAAATCAATGTTATGCGTATATATAATGAAGGTAGTGGGGATGAGAAAATTTGCAGAGGATTTGAAGTTCAAATAATGGAAGACAAAAGATGTATTTTTCTTGGAAAATCACTTGATCTCACTTTCTCTGCTAATATTAAATGAACTCTCAATAAATAAAATGAAATCATTTTTTGCATTTTAAAAACTGTAAATATGAACAAACAAAAAAAAGGTTTTCCTATGATGGTATTTGTGTGTGTAAAATTATAGTTTAGAATAATACATCTTCAAGGAACCAATAATAAAAACAGATTTTTGTTATATTACACTGCCAAGTCTTTGTTAGTTCTATATTGAACACCCAAGATCTTCATATTTCTTAACTAGACTCTTGATTCTATTAAGTTGTTTTAAATAAGACCCCATAATCTATTAAATTGTTGTAAATAAGACCCCAATTTGTAACAAGTATGAAGATTTGAGGGTCTAAACTTAGAAAGATGAAAAATTGAGAATTTGATTTAGAATTAACAAAGTATTTAGGAGTCTAACATAAGAAAACTCGTATGAGAAAACACAAAAGAAAACTTAAAAAAAGCATCATTTAGATATTAATCCATCGTCTTTTCTTTACTAATTCGATGTGAGTCACTTAATCTTTGAAATTGCTCATAAGCCCTTCAAGTTCTATGCGGTCTTGCAATTTGGCCCATCAGTAACCAAATACCCCTTGATTTATGTTTAGCCCAAAGTCCTCTAAGTTCAAAAGAAAACATTAGATGAGAGGTAATAATGGTCATCGAGGACCGAATTGCAAAGCCCATAGGACTTTTGAAGGTCGTGTAGCGGCATAAGCAATTCGAAAGATTTACGGGTCTGATATGGAATTACTAATGATTTGATGACTTGTTTGTAAATAACCAGGGAAAAAAAGGGAAAACACCAATAACCAGCAGCAGTGGAGAATCGAAGTCTACCGCCGACAGTTTATCCTCTCTTTTGTCCTCCGATTGGCGAAATCCCTTCAAACCCAAAAATCCCTAACTTAAATCAATG